GAAAACTCGCTGTGTATAACGAATACTCTCTTCCAACAACCTAAAAGACGGCTTTATACATGGACCTCACCAGATGGTCAACACCGAAATCAGATTGACTACATCCTTTGCAGCCAAAGGTGGCGGACATCCATCCAGTCGGTGAAAACAAGACCTGGGGCTGACTGTAGCTCAGATCACGAACTTCTTATTGCTCAATTTAGAATAAAACTAAAGAGATCAGGGAAAATACACAGACCAGTTAGATATGATCTCACTAACATTCCTGGCGAATATACAGTGGAAGTGAAGAACAGATTTGAAGGACTAGATTTAGTAAACAGAGTCCCAGAAGAACTATGGACAGAAGTCCGCGACATTGTTCAGGAGGCGGCAACAAAGTACGTCCCAAAGAAAAAGAAAACCAAGAAGGCAAAAGGGTTGTCTGCTGAGACACTGGAAGTAGCCCAAGAAAGGAGGAAAGCAAAAGGAAACAGGGATAAGGGGAGATATGCCCAGTTAAATGCGCAATTCCAGAGGTTAGCCAGAAGAGATAAGGAACTATTTTTAAATAAGCAATGCATGGAAGTGGATGAAGACAACAGAATAGGAAGGACAAGAGACCTCTTCCAGAAAATTAGAAACATTGGAGGTAAATTTCAGGCAAAAATTGGTATGATAAGAAACAAAGATGGCAGGGACCTAACAGAAGCTGACGAGATCAAGAGAAGGTGGCGAGACTATACAGAAGATCTGTATAGGAAGGATAATAATATTGAGGATAGTTTTGACGGTGTGGTGAATGAATTAGAACCAGACATCCTGAGGAGTGAGGTTGAATGGGCCTTAAGAAGCATTGCTAACAACAAGGCAGCAGGAGATGACGGGATCCCAGCGGAACTGTTTAAAATCTTAAAAGATGATGCTGTCAAGGTGATGCATGCCATTTGCCAGCAAATATGGAAAACACAAGAATGGCCATCAGACTGGAAAAAATCAACTTATATCCCCATACCAAAAAAGGGAAATGCGAAAAGACTGATCAAACTTCCGTACAGTGGCCCTTATTTCTCATGCCAGTAAGGTAATGCTCAAGATCCTGCAAGGAAGACTCCAGCAATACATGGAGCGAGAGTTGCCAGATGTACAAGCTGGGTTTAGAAAAGGCAGAGGAACGAAGACCAAATTGCCAATATCCACTGGATAATGGAGAAAGGCAGGGAGTTTCAGAAAACATCTATTTCTGTTTATTGACTATTCTAAAGCCTTTGACTGTGTGGATCATAATAAATTGTGGCAAGTTCTTGGTGGCATGGGTATACCAAATCACTTTGTCTCTCTCCTGAGGAATCTGTATAAGGACCAAGTAGCAACAGTCAGAACTGACCACGGAACAACAGACTGGTTCAAGATTGGGAAAGGCGTACGGCAAGGCTGCATACTCTCACCCAACCTTTTAACTTGTATGCAGAACACATCATGCGATGTGCGGGGCTTGATGAATGCAAAGCTGGGGTGAAAATTGCTGGAAGAAACATTAACAACCTCAGATATGCAGATGACACCCCTGATGGCCGAAAGCGAGGAGGAGCTGAGGAGCCTTCTAATCAAGGTGAAAGAAGAAAGCGAAAGCCGGGTTGCAGCTAAACGTCAAAAAAACCAAGATTATGGCAACAAGAATGATTGACAACTGGAAAATAGAGGGAGAAACCGTGGAGGCCGTGACAGACTTTGTATTTCTAGGTGTAAAGATTACTGCAGATGCAGACTGTAGCCAGGAAATCAGAAGACGCTTACTTCTTGGGAGGAGAGCAATGTCCAGTCTCGATAAAATAGTGAAGAGTAGAGACATCAGACTGGCAACAAAGATCCGCCTAGTCAAAGCCATGGTATTCCCTGTAGTCACCACGGATGTGAGAGCTGGACCTTAGGGAAGGCTGAGCGAAGGAAGATCGATGCTTTTGAATGTGGTGTTGGAGGAAAGTTCTGAGAGTGCCTTGGACTGCGAGAAGATCCAACCAGTCCATCCTCCAGGAAATAAAGCCCGACTGCTCATTGGAGGGAAGAAGACTAGAGACAAAGTTGAAGTACTTTGGTCACATCATGAGGAGCAAAGCCTAGAGAAGACAATTATGCTGGGGAAGGTGGAAGGGAAAAGGAAGAGGGGCCGACCAAGGACAAGATGGATGGATGGCATCCTTGAAGTGACTGGACTGACCTTGAAGGAGCTGGGGGTGGTGACGGCCGACAGGGAGCTCTGGCGTGGGCTGGTCCATGAGGTCACGAAGAGTCGGAGACGACTGAACGAATGAACAACAACAAAAGGTACTTTTAGTTGTCTTCTGGAAATGAACTCAATTATCTCATTGCAGCAAACTGACATTTCAGTGCAACACTGAATAAAGCTCTCACTATGCATTAATGCGACTGGAAGAAAAAAGTGTCAAAGGACATGAAGCCTTTACAATGTCAAATTTCTAAGGTCTAATTTAGACCCATCCTGGAGTGCTGTAAATATGTTCAAAGCAGCCCATCTCTCACTTTCTTTCCAAACGTATGTCAAATTAAAATGCACAGTTCTATTCTTTTTCTTTGTTCTTTGCATCTCCCTCCTACTGTTAATGCTCATTTACTACCTATTTTTACATTGAACAAGTTATCTTACAATTTTAAGTTAAAGCCAGAAAGTCTTCTTAGCGATATTTATAAACCTAAACATGGAAGGCTATATGGAGTGGATTAATCAAGGGGGCTAATTCATATATCAGGTTCTTCCCATCACAATTTGTTTATCCTGCATAGAGATGTATGACTTAACAAATGGCACTTTCTTTCCTGAAGGTAGATATTTAACGTTATTGATATTCACTGTGTGCAAGCATGGTACTTAAACCTTTTGAAGAAAAGTACCCCATATAACTAAAATTAGTACCTGCACATTTTGAAATAGAGAGTGTTCCCTTCCCTACTTCAAAAAGAATACTTGGGGGCGGGGGGTCAAATTAAATAAGCATTTTGCTCAGGAAATCAATTGCCTCTGAATTGGAACACTTTCCCCACCTACATTTTCTTGATAAATTCATCTTTGAAGCAGGCCTTTTAATTTAATGTGGCTTTTGAAGTATCTGAGTGCTTGTCTAAGAGAATAATGTAAAACAAAATTTCTACGGCACATCCAACATAAATGATCCTATTTCCCAAAGTAATTGACACAATATGGAGTACATTATTAAAGTATCATGCTCCTTTAAGAGGTATACAAATTATAAATATTGCGATATTGATTTCTAGAATGTCCAATCACAGAGTAGTTGGGGTGGAGAAACTTCTATACACATGCTCTTATCTGATCAAATTCTCCTTCATTTTATTTATTTATTTGTTTACAGTATATTCCGCCCTTCTCATCCCACAGGGGACTCAGGGCGGATTACAATGCACATATACATGGCAAACTTTCAATACCATTACACATACAACATATATAGACAGACACAGAGACAATTTAACATTCCAGCTTTTTCAATAGGGCATGCTCAATTCCAGCCACAGGGAGAGCTGCTGCTTCACCGTCCACTTGTGACACCGAGACCCTGATGGAGGACTTTCTCATTCTTACGCACACTGCTGGGAGGTTTTTATTTATGGTGTTGTAAATTAGTTAAATTAGCCTCCCTGTATAAAGCAGTACTTAAATTTCCTACTTGACAGATGCAACTGTCTTTAGGGCAGCAAAGGTCAACAGCAAGCTAGACTATTAATGGTCACGAGCTCACTCCAACCCGAGTTGGCTTTGAATTCATGACCTCTCGGTCAGTAGTGATTTAATGCAGCTGGCTACTAACTAGCTATGCCACAGCCCGGGCCCTTCATATCATTATTTACTCATCCCCCTGATCAAATTCTCTTTCATATCATTATTTACTAATTAATTACATTTAACTAAATCAAAGCAGTGTGCATGGCTTGTGCCCTCCCCAACTTATCCTCATAGCAACACTGTGATGTGGGTTAAGCTAAGTCAGACTGAGGGCCCTTCCAGGAAATGATCCCAGGTTTTCTGTTTATCCCAAATTATCTGGCAGTGCGGACCCATATGATCCAGTTTAAAGCAGAAAACCTGGGATTCAATCCTTAAATCAGATCCTGTGAGATAGGGCCTGTCTGGAAGGGCCCTGAGCCAAATGAGTTTAATGGGACAGTGGGGAGGAAAACCCGGATACTTCATTTCTCAGTCCAGCACTCTTGAATAGGACACTGCAAGGACAAATAGAAGCACGTTGCATGACATTTATACCACAGTGTCTGAATTTTAAAATCTGAACTTCTACCCATCAGACATCTGGGAAGAGAGAAAATAACTGTATGTATGTTTGTGCTTGTGGGCATTAAGGACACTAAAGCTACACATATATAATTTTTGAAGAGTCAACAAGATTCCAACTATGTACAAAAATAAAAAAAAGAGAAGTGTGCATTCAAAGCTGCACACAAGGTTCATTCATCTAGTAATGTTGCAGGCTATTTTCATGCAACTTGTGCTCCTAATTGTCGTTGGATAACAGGTTATTATCCATTTTATAGGATAGCATTAAGAAGATCTATATGGAAAAATGCACAGCAGCCCTTTTACCAAAAGTATTCTTTAGTTAGTTAAAGCATTATAATTTTAAACTATTTTGTGTTTTTTCCTCCCAGCTAAATCTGCTAACCTGAAAACATTTCAGTTTATGAAGTGATAAAAAGGAATATTCCCAGGTTGAGTGTGTGGGCGAAAAGTGATGCCATTTTTGTTTACATACTAGTTCTAAATAAGATACAATTAATCTAAGTTTTGGAGCAGAAGAGAAAGATCAAACAAAATCAGAAAGTCATTGATCTGGTAGGTGGACCATTCTCATTATTCACTACAAGTACAACTCTAATAGCTTGTTAGCCTAAAGTGTATGTGACACATACAATTTTCAAGCTCCAGCGTGTGTCTGTTTTGTTGGAAGTGCATTAAACATTAACTCTCTTACTGTGAAATAGAACTGTTCTGTCTCCTGCTGATTGGCCCGTCTCTTGGCGATGCTTGGCTTGCTCATGAAAGTTTCAGAGACCGTTGATTTTACAGACTCCATGGAATTGCTATATTGGAAGCAGTCAGAAACATCAAAATCCTCAATCGTAACAATATCCTGAATAGTTTGCAGAGTGGCTTCCATCGTCTTCTTCACCTTGGAGAGAAAAAAACAAAAACAAAGGAGAAGTAAAAAATGTAGGAAAAATGCACTGAACCGTGTGAAGTGCCAATTTATGTTTTGCCTGCTGGGTTAGCAGCGTTCAAACATAATATCAAGACAATTGCCTTGAAATTTTAAGAAGAAGGAGGCTGAGATTTCAGTCTTAAGGAGTACCCTTACTGGAGAGTAAATCTCACTCATCTGAGGGCCAAGTGACATCTTACACTGCAGCTTCTCATAATGAAATTTTGATGCCATTGGCTGATGCACTGCTGCCTTGGGACTGAATGTGTACTGAATTTGCAGAGGTTGATGCTTTTAGGGGTGAACTTTCTGTTGAACCCCTCTCCACGTTTTAGTTCCCTCACTATTGTGAACCTGTGTTTATCTCACAGACATGAAACACAGCAATCTCCTTTTATTGAATCCACCCAGCTCAGTATTGTCAATTCTAACCAACATTGTCTCTCCAAGGTTTCAGGAATTATTATTTTCCAGTCTTCACTCAATTTGAACAATGTATTATGAAATGGGGAGGTGTGATAAATGATGTTATATGCAAATAAAAAACATAGCGTTATGCTTTTAAAAGACTTACAAAATACTTACAATGGCTAGTTTTATATATTAGCATTATATTTGCTTGTCTTTATACTTAAAAAATCCTGTCATGCATGTCTTTACCTATTCAAAGATGATCTTCATGTAGGAAAATGTAGTATGTGCAGTGCTTGTGTGCCACAGTTCAGTATGTGCAATATTGATAGGAGCATAACACAGCCACTCAGTGTTATCGCAACAAACATGGGAAATGACTGACATATTCCAGTGCACTCCCCCTCTTGGAACTCACTCCCCAACAAAATTAGATCAGTTCCCTCCCTCCTGGTCTTCAGAAAAAAAGTAAAAACTTGGCTATGGGACCACGCCTTTGGGCAGTAAGCAATGCAAAGAATGATGAGGGATTATGTGCAACTGATTGGAATGGCTTGAACTACAATTTTTGGATTATGTGATTTTAATGTTTATATTAATATGTTTTAACTCCATGTTTTAATGTCCAAACGTTGTTACATTTTAATGATCTAATTGATAGTTATATGTTGTTGTTGTATTATGTTAGGTTTCATATGTATGTAAGGCATTTAATTTTGCCATAAATATGTTGGAAACCGCTTTGAGTCCGCCCCCCCCCCATAAGAAAAGTGGTATACAAGTGAAGTAAATTAAATATATAAATAAATAAATATGTGTCCACAATGTGATAGTTTGCACAAAAATATTGTTGTCTCAAAATGAGGAACATGTATGACAGCATTCCGTTTGCCTTAGAAATTCTGTCTTAAACAAATGGATTCCAGCTCTCATGCTTTCAGTTAACTTTCTTCTCAATTTGCTGTCCAGACAAACAAACAAGATTACGGATTTTTAAAAAAAAAAAAAACAATTATATACTATCACGGAAATTGCTGAAAGGTGTGTACTTTGTGTTTGCTTACCTCTTCGTTTTCAATCTTCAGAGTTGATAGCCTAGACTGCAGCTGCTGACATCTCTGAACCAATTCACTTTGCACAGGTTGCTGGGCACATATTTGGGAGACCTGGCGGGGAAGAGGTACCTTTGAAACAATCTGAACACTTGCCTTCTCTAGTTTTGATCTGGTTTGGGCCACAGAATAGTGGCCTGGCCATCTAGGTGGGATATGCAGGTAGGATAGTCTTTGTGGGCAGACTACAAATTCTGTAACCACATACCGCTATGAAATCTATAGCCTCAGTAATTTAAAAACTCTGAGTAAATCTCCAAGGTTTTTTTTTTTTGGGGGGGGGGAGATGTGCACCATTAGAACCTCAGCTTCTTTGTTTTGATAGAAGAGGGAACTATGGCTAATTAGAAATTTCCTGTTATAAAGTGGTTAGAGCATTGAAGACAAGAGTTCAAATCCCTGCTTGGCTATGGAAATTCTCAATAATATTAAGAGGAGCATACAAATATTTAAAGAAACACCCTTTGATGATATACCAAGCATCAGACCTTTATGTAACTAACCAGAGTTCTGACTATTATTAAAAAGCATTCTTTAATGTGAATTTTGGGCAAAGTTCAAAGCAACAATGTGAGGCTATGAAAATGACCAGAATGTGTGTTAGCTTTTTCTTTTGACTCTCAAATAGATGCACACACACGTAAGAGCACATATAGAAGTACCTGCATGCAATGAAAACACAAGCACTTTCAATGAACCTAGTTTAGGTTGAGTTTGATATACAAAACAATAGGCATGGTGATGTATGGTTTCCAGCATATCAAAACCAATTCACACAAGGGTACAGTATGGTAGATTATGTGGTTGTGCAGATCAACCAAGCACATAAGATACTTAAGATTTCACCATTATCCTACTTGCCTCACTATCAGTAATAAACTAGCTTATACCATTAAATCTACAAACATGAACTCAAAATGAATGAAATAGGCACAAACTTTTTACGACAACCAGTCCAAAATGCTGACATTCCATCACATATGTGGCAAACATACAGACTGAAAGTGAATGTGACAACTGCCTGACAGTTTGTGTCAGACTTCATTAATTCAAAGTTAAATGATTTTGGACATTTCAGATTGTAACATATCCTTGAGTCCAGATTTACTAAGCAGGTGGATTTCATGGTGTGAGCCCAAATCTCTTTAATGAGCCTGCATCGCTGAAATATTCCTGCTTCCCAATGAATACCCACTGATTGCTAACTATAGCAATTTAACATTTAGATAGCATGAAAAGTGAACAGACAAAAAGGAAGCCTGGGAAGTGAATTAAGTAATAAAATCTTTAAATACTTTAGCTCTGAGAATAATTACTTCTTACAGTCACGTGGATGAAAAGAGAGAATGGGTCTCTTTAAAGAGAATAATACCATTCTACATGGCAACCAATGGCACTTGCTTCATCAACAACATATACTTTAATATTTTACAGCTGTGTGCACAAGCAAAGAGAAATTCCGTAAGAACACTAAAAACAGAGCTAATGTAAAGCATCTGTGATGCCACCTCTTGGGACTAAGTACACTCAATGAAGGAAATGTGCAATAAATACCAGAGAATATGCAATAAAATGCCAAGTTTCGGTTTTATGGCTGGCTATCCAGCAACCACAATTTTTAGCTTTTATAAAATATATTGTTATTTTTATATTATATATACTCATTCATAGTGAGGAAAACAACAAAAATATGATGAATTTGCCATTGTAAGCTGGCCTCCTAATAATCAGTAACAGTCAGTAGCACATGATACTACTGTTTGGACAATTGTTGTACACTCATTTATTAGGCTTTCCCACAATTAGTTTACTCTTCTTTCCCCTAAAGAAGAAACAAACATACCACTTTTTCTTAGGAAGTATCAAAAACTATCCCTTAGCCAGTGGGGCATAAAGATTTGAGATTTGGGCTACTACTCTGAAAATCAGCTTTGAAATCCTTCCTTGTGCATACAAACACACAGTTTGACTTGAACAAGTCAAATTCTCCAACTTTTCTGAACAAATCTTGTCAAGAAAACCTCATGACAGGTTGACCTTAGGGTTGCCATAAGTCAGAAATAACTGGAAGGCACAAAACAACAAACCAAACACACATGATTAAGGTATTATCAACATGTACTAAGATTTTTCAAACTAATGCATGAGAAGTGGGGTCTTGACTGGAAATGGGTTTTCCTTACAAAAAGCAATATCAGCATGTTTCTTGGGAAAGATGGCCACAACACATAATGATGGATGCAGCTAGCTCCCATGAACCCTCTCCATCTGTCTGTTTAATACACAAATTGTCATGTGTAAATATCTATAGTAACCGTGCAATCAAGACAGAAATGTGTTTTATTTCCTATGTAGTAAAATCAAACTCATTTGAAATATTCTGTAGATAGCAAGGACTGCCAAAAAGACAAATGAATGTGTCCTAAATTAAGCTTGAACTTTCCCCTAGAAGACAAGACGACCAAACAGAGTCTTATCATGAGAAAACATGACTCATTAGAAAAGATAATAATCTTTGGTAAGATAGAAGGCAGTAGAAAACAAGGAAGACAGTATTACAGTAAGATAGACTCAATGAAAGAAGCCACAGCCTTGAGTTTGCAAGGCCTGGTAACAGGGTGTCTTGGAGGCCTCTCGTACATGGGTTATCATCAATCAGAATGGATCTGATGGCAATACTAACAAATAGCTTTGTGGTTATGGACTAGAATTAAAATTATTATATAACCATATGCACAGCGAAGAAGAAAAAACTAACCATGTCACCCATGTGAGGCTGAAACTCAAACTTCATGGGTGGGCAGAAGACATTGTTGCACATCTCCATGAGGCGTTGCTTGTCACTGTTGGCATCCAAGTTCTCCACAGCATTCTCTATCGCGTCAAGGCCCTCGTGTTTTGACTGCTCTAAGTTCAGCTCTGCTGACAGGAATGTCCTAAGAGCTCTACCAAGACTGGCATGATATCCTAAGTCACAGCACTGCTGGAAAAACAAAGAAACAAGAAAATACTACCTGAAAATGCTGGGACAGAAATCACAAAAGAAACAATATGCCATTATTTTTACAATAATTATTTTAAATACGCATGGATCTTGGCCTCAAAAGACCCAATAACCTGTTATGACAAGACAAATGATCTCCAGGGTTCAACTGTATTTACAATACAAACTTAACATAATTTAATATTATTTGTTTTAAATGCATCACACAGTAAATATAGCAATATGTTAAACTGATCATATTACAGACTAAGTTTTGAAGTAGTAACATGGATTACACCATCCCTCGTTCTGTCTGAAGGAGCCAATGACACACATTTTGGGGAGGAGGAATTGTATGCCTTGTGTAATACAGACATACCTCAGTTAATGAGGTAAGGGTGTTCCTTCTTTAAAAGAAAAATGTGGACCAGAAGTGGAAATGGTATGAAAAGAATTGCCACAGAGTCATATACTATAAAAAGATGGGAAGTGCAACATGTTTCACCAAACTTTTAATTCAAAACTAACAATATGCACATATGAGATGGAGCATACAAGTCAGGTTAATCAAATGGTAAAACCTTGCATAAGTAAACCAAAGGAATCCTTTTGAAATGCATCCAGGGATTATTTTCTTCCTTCACCAGCCCCACTATTTTTATGATTTCAGTACTGGTGTCCAAACATATACCTTAAATCTATTCTTTTTAACATGCTAGTTAGTAAGGCAGGCTTATTTGCTATCCTTTTTCTGTTTTGCTGTTTCTGTTTTCAAATCACAGTTCTGCTTTTGACATTTACATCTCTAAATGGATTAGCAAGACTGTATTCTCTACAGGATTCTTTTCTTCCACAGTAGGCTTCCAGCTAATTAATATTATCTTCAAAGATTTTTTTCCCTAGTGTCCTTGACATCTTGGCAAAAATAATCAAATAAAGGAACCTCTTTAGTTGTGTCACCTAAACTTTGCAGCGTCCTTCCCAAACATGCTTACTTGGTACTGTTTTCATCAGTTTTTGTATTATACCTGACAAGAGTACCTTCCAGTGAAACTTGAAACACACTCTTTTTTAAATATAGGTTTAACTGCAGCTTTTAAGAGATTGATCTAAATGTTTAGCAGCTATTTTGCCTGTTCATTTCACTTTATTCCAAAAATGCCTTTGGGGTCTTTCTGTGAAAAGCAATGAAGCTGGACCGCACAGAACAAAATAAGTAAATAAATAATTTGGACAGATTATCTGGTTGAAAAGGGGAAAGAAAACCGAACATAAATATCATAGTCAAATACTACTACTAATAATATACTTTTTAAAGATTCTGCTCTATCTCCCCAAGAGGACTCAAAGCGGATTACATATACAGTGTTCCCTCACTTATCGCGGATGTTACATTCCAGGACCACCCGCGATAAGTGAAAATCCGCAAAGTAGGGATGCTCTCTCTCTCTTTCTCTATATATATATCGCACTCCGAGAGTGAGGCAGAAGCGAGGTGAGATTTAAAGGCACTGCACACCTTTTTGCTAGATATAAGGAAGGGGCTATAAGGCTGTGATTTACATACTGCTTTGTATCTCCTCTCTCTCTTTTTTATGATTGGCTGCCTCTCTCCCAAGGGGAAGGGTGAAACCCCCTTCTACACTCCATCATTGCCAGGAGGCAAAAACCCGCGAAACAGCAAGTCCGTGAAAAGTGAACCGTGAAGTAGCGAGGGAACACTGTATGGCAAGCATTCAATGCTGTTATACAATTAACAAAGATAGACAATACATAGACAGAGGAAAGGCTTCCCTCTCTTTTTATTTCCGGAAGCTAGAGGCTGTGCTTGATTAGGCTATGGGGAGGTGCTGTTGTTCCATTTTTTCCACGTCAAGGAGCCTGTTGTCCATGCATGTCTTCCTAATCAAATTGCCAGCATGTCTTCAGGGGTGCCTTTTACCTCCCCGGAAAAGCAGTATATATTTATCTACTCACATTGCTGCTTTCAACCTGGTAGATAAGCTGAAACTAAGGCTAACAGCAGAAGCTCACCCCAACCCGTGGCTTGAACTGCCACCTTCTGGTTGGCAAGATTTTCTGTAGCTGGCAGTTTAAATTGCTGTGCTAACTGCATTAGCTGAACATATTGACCTGAAAACTGATGTGCTACCCAAGCCAAAGCTCAATATTGATGAAAAAGATTTTTGTGTCATTACTTAAAAAATGAATGCAAATGTTGACTGTGCCTTGAATCTATCCAAAAGGAACAAAAACCCATTTGCTTGATGGATGCCCTACTCCATAAACTTATGTCAATGAACCATCTTTTGTTTAGGAGGTATAATACAGCAGAAAAATGCAAGGAGAAGGAAAGATTCATCTACCATGTGCTTTTAAGGATACTATCAGTGCCTTGGGGAATATTTGTAAACATAGAGACAAAAAGATGTGGTGGGAAGTTCTTGTAAAGCAGCAGCAGTTGCTGGATTTACTGCAAAACAGACAATGAAAGAACATTGGATTCAATCAAAAAGCACAAAGACCAAGCATAAAAACAAAAGCAGCTTGATTGAGAATTTGCAGAGGCAGAGGGTGTTCCCATTAGTAAATAAGCATTCAAGCAGTTGCAGCTTTCCAATGACATCACAATGGCATGTTGTGCACAGTGTAATTAGAGATAAGCTTCAATGAAAATTAGGAGGCAAATCAACTGAAACTTTTTCAAAAGATTAACATCTGTGTTAATTTGCTGTTTGATCTACTGATGCCCCAGATTCATGGATGGATTCCTCAAGGGCATGGCTGCCCATTTGACAAACTATGATTCAAACACTTGGATTCATCTTTAAAGACAGCCTGAGGTAGGACTGTGTATATGTGTGTGACTGCCTGTCTGATTTCATTCATGGAATTAGAAAGTGAAACAATAATTCATATTTTATAAGCCTCCTCCATAAGAAATCAGTAGGATTAGATTAAGACAGCAATGTTTTCCATCTCTGAAGTAGCTGTTGGCAGCAAACAGTTTTCACTATGCCCTTTCCATCCCTAACATTTTAAAATGTCTAAAATATCACATTTATAAGTGTGTCAGTCTCACTGGCCTTTTCTGGGTTATATAAATGTTTGATGGAAATGTTCTCCAAGGAAATCAATTTTTTATAAGAATTTAATGATAGCTCATCCAAATTCACTTCTCAGCATGACAGCTGATTAACCCTTTGCCAGCCAATAGATTTTAAATGGAAAACCTGGAAGGACATAGAGCAAGTAAACAGTCTGCATTTCAAAATTTAGTGAGGAAGAACATTCCTTAACTGGCCATTCTAAGAAGTACTTTCAAAGACAGTAGACAAAATGTTTATATATGCAGCAGTGGAAGATTTTGTAATTATCTGAAAGGAAAAAAAATGGAAAGATTTGGGGAGTGAATGTTATTTGTTAGTAGTTTTACACTTCTGGTTTGCTTATATCCAACCCCCCCCCCCCAAACTCCTCTTTACCACCATTAATCAGAAAGCTCAAAAACATTCTGCAAATTATATCTTGCTTGCTACATTTACAGGCAGTCCCCAAATTATGAGCAAGATAGTTTCTGAAGATTTGTTCTTAAGTTGAATTCGACTTGATTGCAAGTCGGAGCAGGTACATTTTTAAAGTGTAACTCCATCCAAATGTACAATATATTTAAGCTTTGGATAGCAGTAGACTTTAATTAAAATTGATGTTATTTGGTTTACACACAACCTTCATGTGTGTTCAGCATACACAGGTACAAAATAAATCATTTCAGTTTCAGATTGTTTTTGTTTCTTCGTTCAGTTGCTTCCGACTCTTCCTGACCTCATGGACCAGCCCATGCCAGAGCTCCCCGCCAGCTGTCGCCACCCCCAGCTCCTTCAAGATCAAGCCAGTCACTTCAAGGATAACATCCTTGGTCGGCCCCTCTTCCTTTTTCCTTCCATTTTCCCCAGCATCATTATCTTCTCCAAGCTTGCCTGTCTTCTCATTATGTTGCCAAAGTACTTCATCTTTGTCTCTAATATCCTTCCCCCCAGTGAGCAGTTGAGCATTATTTCCTGGAGTATGGACTGGTTTGAGATTCTTGTGGTTCACTGCACTCTCAGAATTTTTCTTCAGTACCATGGTTCAAAAGCGTCTATCTATGGCCCAGTTCTCACATCCATAGGTTACTACAGAGAATACCATTGCTATAACTATGCGGATCTCCATTGCCAATGTGATGTCTCCACTCTTAATTATTTTATTGAGATTTCAGTTTCAGATATGTTTGAAATAATTGTCTGTGCCATTTGACAAGGACATCTCTTACAGCAAAACAGCAAGCAAGTGTGTGATCTGTGATCTGAAATAGTCTGTGGTCTTCTATAACTGTCTGCCTGAGTGATCATGTGGTCTGCAGCCCCTCCTACAACTTCTCAGGCACCATAGAGTAAAGGAAGCTGCATACCAGAACATACATACAAACAGTAAGTAACAGGATCATATATAAACATTATCAGAGAAGGCTTGAAGAGCTTGTCATTTCCAACAACTTGATAATCCATATCTTTGGTATATGCAGGATGTCCCGAAGTCTATCCCAGTGGATACCAAGGGCCAAATGTAACTAATTATGTTACTTAATTAGGGTTATCCAGACAAACATGTATTTCTGTGTCCATTGTAGAATTTAGCCACCTTAATAAAGGTTTGCAAAGCCAACTTGCCTGGTGCCCTATGAGCCACACTGCTTAACACACATGCTTCTTTATTTTGCAGCTTAAACACATTTTCCCATTAAATTAGTATTTATTTAAAATAAGGGATTATTATCAGTCCAAGGAGTTTCAGCGGATTCAAAACCACAAGGGAACATTTCAACGGAATGACTACTGGTTCCTCTTAACAATGAATCCAATATGTAGCATTAATAACCCTATGTCTTTCATTAGTATTAGCTTTAGCAGTTTGTATCTTTTAACTTTTAAGTAGATAACTTCTGCAGGAAGAGAAACAGCATGAAATAGTTACATTAAGGGGAGGAACACTTGGGTTGTTTTAAAAAACATTTCAGACATTGCTCAAATACCAGCATTGTGCCCTCGGTGTTTGATTTTGTTCTCCCTAACCAGTGGTCCTGATACCTATAACTACTGTTTCAATGTACTTTAAAGTGAGATGTGTATGCCAGGACTGTTGCTTAGTATACCAGTGGTAGAGACATGATCTGTGCACTGAACGTCCATTATTAAACTTCCAGAATATCCAGGTGATATAGGAAAAGAAACTACCAGTTTGGGGGGGGGGGGGGGGCTTGAGTATTGCTGACATTTTCTAACTATTGGAAAGAACTCTGTCTGAAACTGTATTTATCTAAAAAGTAAATATGATTAGGTATGCAGCCTATATATGTGAAGAACAGGGTAATCTTTATGCAGTTAATAATTGTCCCAGTTTAGGAATCTAAAAGGACAAAGTCTATGCTCATGGGAGCCATCTGTCTTAGCACTCAGGAACAGTGAATAGGGATATACTGCTGAAACTAATATTTTCACCTGGCACTCAGCATAGTAAGAAAGCTGTGTCAGCACTCCCAGAAAGAGTTTTCTGTTAACTCTATTACAAAAAAATAGTGCTCCTTCAGATTACTTTTCTGTGTTTAAAGAAAAGATAATGATTTATTCAGGAAATCCAAATGCCTCTGGCAATGTTTCTTGCAATATGTGCCTCAGCAACAGCATATAAAGTCCTAATGGCAGAGAAAGGTGAAACAGAGGGCCCTTCCACACAACCCTATATCCCAGAATATCAAGGCAGAAAATCCCACAATATCTGCTTTGAACTGGGTTATCTGAGTCCACACTCAGATAATGTGGGACTTTTTGCCTTGATATTCTGGAATATAGGGCTGTGTGGGCCCAGAGGGTCCTTCCACACAGACATATAATCCTGAATATCAAGGCAGGAAATCCCACAATATATGCTTTGAACTGGACTATATAGCAATGTGAACTCAGAAAACCCAATTCAAAGCAGATATTGTGGGATTTCCTGCCTTGATATTCTAGGTTGTAGGGTAGTGTGAAAGGCCCCAGAGAGAACACACACTGGAAGGAATAGCTGGCATTTTTAAAGTGCCTACATTTGAAGGCATTTGACTATGAATATACTATCCTTTCCTTTTAGTTTTTACCATGATTGCCTGGTTTTAATACTCTCGTTCATTTTAACTCCCTGACTGAGGAGAGACAAAGACTTTAGAGACCCCCCTTTTATACCAAACTGCATCAGCTCTTGTTACCTTAGCTCCTGTTCCCACTTCTGTGTTTTCCATGGTACCTGGAAAAGCCACGTATTGGTTCAACAAGTCATTTCTTCCCTCAATCAAGACTGTCACTGTCACCCCTCCCCCACTCCCCCCCTACATTTCTTGGGAGACTTCCCAACAACAGGTTTTCCCTGTACCGTTCCTACTATACTATCCCCTATATATTGTTCTCCCTCTATCCATGTATTTATGTATAACTTTAATAAAATTTATAATAATAATAAAAAAAGACTGTCACTATGCCTGTCTAATAGAGTATTTTCTGTCTAATAGAACCATGTTCTACACTATACAGGTCTATCCTTCCACATTTGCAGTCAAACTAATTGCCCCGTTGTATTTGACCTAAGTGCTTCATAAAAGTTGTAAGCCAAGACTGCTTTGAACAACACATGCTATCCTCCCTGACTATTGATTGTTGTGGTTAGAGCTGATAACACATAACACATCTAAACCAGATTATTCACCTTGTTCTAAGTGCTACTGATATGGATATTGGCTCTATTATTTTTACAGTGCCTTGCATGCTGTTGGTACTATATAAACATTAACATTAACAAATAAAAGTAGCCATAATATTGCTCTATGTAAAAGCATAATATTTCATAATCCAAAATGAAACGCCAATCTTCGTGTTCAGAAAAAGTAATCATAGAGCTCTCAGTGGCAGAAATAATCTAGCCACAGTTACCCATGCACTGGTAACCCTCCAGGTAGACTACCATAATGTGCTCTATTTTCTAGATAGATAGCTATAATACGTTCTATAGTATCTCTCAATGTTCTGCCATGCAAAAACATCTTGCCTCACAGAAAGCTATTATATTCTTCCCAACATGTTTGCTAAGTTTTTAGAGGACAGGGAAAGACATTTTCATTTGTCCAATGTTTTTATACATAACAATCTAATTTGGACTTTACAGATTAACATGTAGATCAGAAAATTTTGAGTGCCTGAATGCTGTAATAGGCTGAATGTGAGTCAATCAACTGATACTGAATCCTTAGATGGAGGCTTTCTGGACTGGCAGTTCTCGGTTCCAGGAATTGGGTGAGCAGCCTAGATCAGTTTGTAGTAGCTCTGAAGAAATTCATATGTCATTGTTTCTACGTCCATCCCTGGGAGGTCCAAGTGGACTCTGCGATTTGGAGTGCTTGGCGCCAGCTTTGATTGGTGTGCTAGTTACAGTCTTTTCCGGACAGAGTTAATCTAGTCACAGTAATCCATGCACTGGTGTCCTCCCAGATAGACCACCAGAATGCACTATATGAGACTGTCCTTAAAGAAAGCTCAGAAGTTGGAATATTCTTCCACGTCAGCTTCAAATACAGTAGTTCAACTGCTCAATGGAATATCATATAGTCTGAATTTAAAGTGATTGGGATGACATTTAAAGACAATTGTATGACATATATTTTCTGAGCACATAAACCTACCCTTAAAAAAATAATTTATGAATGCCATGAATTGCCATATAACATATGGTATAATGTAAGTTTTCTGTTCACTACCATTCACCTGATAATCCAGGAGCCCCCGGTGGCGCAATGGGTTAAACCTTTGTGCCGGCAGAGCTGAAGACCAACAGGTCAGAGGTTCAAATCTGGGGACAGTGCAGGTGAGCTCCCCCTGTTAGCTCCAGCTCCCCGTGCAGGGACATGAGAGAAGCCACCCACAAGGATGGTAAAACATCAAAACATCTGGGAGTCCCTTGGGCAACGTCCTTGCAGACAGCCAATTCTCTCATCTCACACTAGAAGCGACTTGTAGTTTCTCAAATTGTTCCTGACACACACACAAACCTGATAATCCAACTATTAGGAGTGTGGGAAATGAGTTATTCTCCAGGTATACTCCAATTCCCATCATCCTTGGCAGCCATAGGTGAGGCATGGTGGTAATTGCAGTTCTGCAGTACCCAGAAGTACAAAGTTGTCTTTCCGAGCTCTTCAGTATTCATGAAAACAAAGACTGATTGGATCTTATCAGTATTTAAGATCATTTACAGTTCTTCTGAAATCAATGATGATGAGACCATATTTTTTAAAGCAGCAGAAAATGTGAAATATTAATACAGTATCACCTTTCCTGTAATACCCAAGCCATCTCCAGGACAAAACAAGCTTTCTGGTATGAAAAGACTTGTTCAAAGCACAGTAAGCACTGAAAGCATCCAATAAACACTTGTACTGAACAGAAATGAGCGTGACCTGTTTGATTTTATGACTGGCTGAGTAACAACGGTGGAGAACAACCAAAGGAGAAATTAATTTGCTTGTTTGGAGGCCTCTTTTTTCCTCCCTCCCACAACCAATTACCCTCAGGGCTCCCCAATGACTATTTTTAACCTTGATTACAGGACACTATTACAGCTGCCACCAAGAAACAGAGAAAAGCAGTGTCCAGCAGCAATCAGGAACTGCCTGAGGAAGTAGCTCAATACAGTCAATACGTCAGTCCTGTTGGTACCCACGCAACAAAGGACAATGTTTTAGTTAATCGAGCTCTAAAAGAGGAGGAGTTTTCAGCATTCCAGTCATTAAGTATTTCGTTGCTGGAACCTGAAAAACACTCCAAGCTCCCCTGTGAGCGGATTCACTGGATTGCAAAAGATCGCCATGGTGAGTGCTTCACATCCACAGCAAGGTGACAAAAGGAATTGCACCATTATTTCCAGGAAGGAGTTATAAAGAAGAAAGGATCCAGTTGCCAGTTGCCTTACAATTCAAACAGTGTAACCGAATTACATAAAATAATCCTCCACAGATCTTCCCCATTTTGAGGCAGAAGGAAGGATAAAAAATGTTATTACTAAGACGGCAATGACTTAAGAGTTATCTTCAAGACAGCGATAGTTCTCCATCCCGTGAAGATTTCGGTCATTAACAGATAAAATGGAAGGTAAAGACACAATAGAATTTACAGCAGCAACATCCAATAAAGGCACCCCAAAGCTAGTACACTTACATCAATGAGATCAGACAGGTCATGGATGTAATACTTGAACACAGATGCATTGGTTGCTTCCAGGGCCAGTAGGTATTCATTTCTTGCTTTAATCGCTTTCAGTTTATTTTCTGTGTATTTTGCTTGGCGCTGAAAAGAAGCCAAAAAGATTATTTGGAAAAGAAAACTAAAGTAGATACAGGTCTTTAGGATGTCAAGATTTTTATTGTTTTTCTCAAAGTCTGAGATAATTTGACTTGCCCAAGGTCACCCAGTAGGTTTCCATGACCAAGTGGGGATTCAACCCCTGTTACGTCAGTTCCACTGACTGCCAATCTGCTACCAAGCACAATTCAAAGTACTGGCTTTAGATTATAAAGCTCTAAATGGTTCTGGCCCAGCTTACTGGTATCTGCCCAAATGTATCTCCCTCTATAAACCACTGTGGAGTTTAAGATCATCTGAGGAGGCCCTGATCTCAGCCCCACCTCCCGCACAAGCATGACTGGCGGATACAAGAAACAGAGCCTTCTCAGTGGAACTCCCTTGATTGTGGAATTCCCTCCCCAGTGATGTTAGATCAGCCCCCTTTCTTCTGAGGGGGCTGATCTTCTTCCGCAAGAGAGTGAAAATGTCGCTTTGTGACCAAGCCTTTAAAGAACTCGTGCAATAGATAGACTTGGAACAATGTGCACTGACCATTGGAACGGCCCGGATTATGTTTGTGGATTACGTGTTTAACACTTAATATGTTATATTTAAATGTTTTATTTGCTTTAATGTAGTTTCAAATACTATTTAATATTTATTTAAATGTACCTTGTGTTTTAGAGCATCGATTTGTTACCTTTATGTAAACTGCCTTGAGTCCCCTCTGGGGTGAGAAAAGCGGGGTAGAAATGTCGTAAATAAATACATAAATAAATAATATATAGAGCTGTAGTCCAACACTGAAAGTACTATAGCATGTCAGTTGTAAAATTAATCTATCTAACCCTATAAGCCTACTTGCATGTAGAAAATAACTACATGATATTTGGCTTTGGGTACTGACACCAAGGATTTGCATAGCAGGAATCATCAAGAAGTCTGTGGCCTTATGACAAAATGAACCAGATTAACTGGAAAGTGTCACTTGACACTTGGCACTCTTGTTTTGAAAAAAAGGGGTAAACAGCTCTAAATCTCAGGTTTTGAAACACTTCATTATGTAAAATAGCAGGCTAAAATTCATTTGTATTTAAGAATTCTACTTGTTCAAAATAACATAAAATATTAGGTTAGAATTTCAGTTTAAGGCACTTTGAATCCTATGTTGAAAGAGAGCAAAATATGAAATAAATAAATAATCAATCTCCTGTCCAGTCAACCCTGTAGCCACATTTTTATTTTAGCGAAACAAACCGTAAATATATCAAAATAAAGTATCAAAGTTCAATTACTATACTGCCAGAGGCTTGCACAAAGCAACACTCAACGGGTATGCTAGTTTAAGAAAAAGTTGTTGAAATACCAATTGTGACTCAAGAAAAGGCATCCCTCCTGGGCTCTTTATTTCACACCTCATTTCATACAATGAAGCTCTGCAATTCAGATACTGAACCACTCACTTAGGTCAGTATTTTTGCTCAGCTCAGAATTTCTCCCCACAGCCCTTTAATGTCCAATATGGATCTATATTGCAGATCAGGTTCAAGGAGAACAGCTCAGCAGCAGTTATAGAGGAAGATAGCTTTGTAGTTACCCAGACGTTTACTCCACCATATTGCTCACATACCTTCTCTTTCATTTTCTCAATTTTCTTGACTGAGCTCCGTCGGACATGTTTTTCTTCAAACTTGACACTGGAAGCTGAATCAGGGGAGCGTGGGGTTTGCTTATCCTCTTGCTTCACAGACTTGCCAATCTGCTTTTCTTCCTGCTTCTCTGCCTCTTTCAGCTTGCTCTGAGCACTGATGCTGTCAGCATTGTACATATGATAGGTCTTCATTACCTGTAAAAGACAAGTCGAGAACAAAATTGGTCCTTACTCAAATGGGAGGGACAAAATTTTATTTATATCTATTGACTGCTATATATGACTGCTGCTGCTGCTGCTGTTGTTGACTTCTAGTTATTTCCAACTTATGGCTACCCTAAGGCAAACATATCAGGAAATATATAAATATGCAAGCATAACTGAATTGTTTTTGGATGCTTTGGGCCTCTTTTTAGGGAGAAAAGCTGGAATAATAATAACAACAACAACAACAACACAGTTGCATTGAGGAAAATCAACAGGATAAACTAAGCCATTATCAGGACCTCAAAATGGAATGGCAAAGGCTCTGGCATAAACCAGTACAGGTGGTCCCAGTGGTCATCGGCACACAGGATGCCATGGCAAAAGATCTCAGCCGGCATTTGGAAACAATAAACATTGACAAAATCATGATCTGTCAACGGCAAAAGGCCACCTTACTTGGATCTGCACGCATAATTCGAAAATACATCACACAGTCCTAGACGCTTGGGAAGTGTTCGACCTGTGATTTTGTTATTATTATTTTATTATTTATACGCTTGTATACCGCTAATATCTCAGCCTAAGTCGGCGACTCATTGTGGTTTACAACAATTAAAAAACAGTATTCAATTTAAAACATAAAACACATATACAATACAAATTATTGGGCCACCAATAATAATCCCATGCATCTCGTAACTAAAATCACAATCCAAAATTCGTCGTCCATGATTACCAGTCCTTTAGTCATCAAAATTCGTTGCAACGGATTAACCGAATGCTTGTTTAAACATCCATGTCTTCAATCTCTTCCGAAACACCATCAGCGAGGAGGCTGATCGTACCTCTATAGGGAGGGTGTTCCAAAGCCGAGGGGCCACCACAGAAAAGGCCCTGTCTCTCGTTCCCGCCAGCCGCACTTGTGAAGCCGGCGGGACAGAGAGCAGGGACTCTCCAGAAGATCTTAGGGTCCTGGTGGGCTGATAGGCTGAGATACGTTCGGATAGATAAGTTGGGCCAGAACCGTTTAGGGCTTTAAAGGCTAACGCCAGCACTTTGAATTGAGCCCGGTAGCATATCGGCAGCCAGTGGAGCTGGTGCAGCAGAGGAGTTGTGTGCTCCCTGCGCCCCGCTCCTGTTAGTATCATGGCTGCCGCCCGTTGGACTAATTGGAGCTTCCGGGCTGTCTTCAAAGGCAACCCCACGTAGAGAGCGTTGCAGTAGTCAAGGCGGGATGTAACCAGAGCGTGGACTACCGTGGCTAAGTCAGACTTCCCAAGGTACGGTCGCAGTTGGCGCACAAGTTTTAACTGTGCGAATGCTCCCCTGGTCACCGCCGAAACCTGGGGTTCCAGGCTCAGCGATGAGTCCAGGATCACACCCAAACTGCGAACCTGCGTCTTCAGGGGGAGTGCGACCCCGTCTAACACAGGCTGTAACCCTATACCCTGTTCGGCCTTGCGACTAACCAGGAGTACCTCTGTCTTGTCTGGATTCAATTTCAATTTGTTCGCCCCCATCCAGACCGTCACAGCGGCCAAGCACCGGTTCAGGACCTCGACAGCCTCCTTAGTAGCAGGTGGAAAGGAGTGACAGAGTTGGACATCATCTGCATACAGATGACATCGCACTCCGAAACTCCGGATGATCTCGCCCAGCGGCTTCATGTAGATGTTAAACAACATGGGAGACAGTATTGAACCCTGAGGAACCCCACAAGACAAAGGTTGTGGGGTTGAACAGGAGTCTCCCAGTAACACCTTCTGAGACCGACCCTCGAGGAATGAGCGGAGCCACTGCAGAACAGTACCTCCAAGACCCATCCCCGCGAGGCGTCCCAGAAGGATACCGTGGTCGACGGTATCGAAGGCCGCTGAGAGGTCGAGCAGCACCAACAGGGACACACTCCCCCTGTCGAGCTCCCGACGCAGATCATCCACTAAGGCGACCAAAGCTGTCTCGGTACCATGCCCCGGCCTAAAGCCAGACTGTGCCGGATCCAGATAATCCGTGTCTACCAAGAATGCCTGGAGTTGTGAGGCCACCACACGTTCCATGACTTTGCCCACAAAGGGGAGATTGGAAACAGGCCGATAGTTGACGAATTGAGTGGGGTCCAGTGATGGTTTCTTCAACAGCGGTTTTATCACAGCTTGCTTTAAGCTGGCTGGAATTTTGCCCTCCCGAAGGAGGCAAACCACCACCTTCACCCACTCGGCCAATCCCCCTCTGGCCTCCTTCTGAAGCCAGGATGGGCAGGGGTCTAGGATGCATGTGGTAGCTCTCATTCCTCCAAGCACCTTGTCCACATCCTCGGATTGAACCAATTGAAATGAATCAATCAAAACCGGACAAGCAGATGCTCGTGTTACATCCTCAGATACTGCCGTTAATATGGTATCCAGTCCAGAGCGGATCAAAGCGACTTTGTCTGCGAAGAACCGAGCAAAAGCTTCGCAGCGAGCTGCCGAGTCATCAGGGCACCCATCCTGAGTGGCGGTTTTAATAGGCCTCTGACAACTCGGAACAGTTCAGCCGGACGGTTCTTTGCAGACGCAATAGTGGCCGCAAAGAAAGTTTCTTTGCGGCTTTTATTGCCGCGGCATATGCCCTTAAAAGGACACAAACCGTGTTCGATTTGGCTCGCTCGGATCCGAACGCCACACGCTCTCTAGTTCCCTCTTCTTTCGCTTCAACGCTGCCAGCTCCTCGGTGAACCAAGGAGCTGGTTTAGCTCGGCTACTTGAGAGGGGGACGTTCTGGAGCGATCGTGTCTATTGCCCTAGTCATCTCCCCATTCCAGAGAGCGACCAGAGCATCAACAGGATCACCAACCGAGGTGGCGGGAAATTCCCCAAGAGCCGTCAGGAATCCATCCGGATCCATAAGCCTCCTGGGGCGGACCAATTTAATGGGTCCTCCACCTCTGCGGAGGTTGGGGGGTGCAGTGAGTCTAAAGCTGACCAGGTGGTGGTCGGTCCATGGCAACGGAGAGATGGATAACTCCTCAACACCGCCACCTTCCTCCCATCCCTGGCAGAAAACCAAGTCCAATGTATGTCCAGCACTGTGGGTGGGGCCAGATACCTGTTGGGACAGCCCCATGGTTGCCATGGTAGACATGAAGTCCTGAGCCGCTCCTGATAAGGCGGTCTCGGCATGGACATTGAAGTCCCCCAGCACAAGCAGCCGTTGGGACTCCAACGCCAGGTCCGAGACCACCCCCGCTAGCTCAGGCAGGGAGTCTGTAGTGCAGCGAGGTGGACGGTACACTAACAGAATCCCTATTCTGTCCCGGTCACCCACCCTCAGGTGGACGCATTCAAAATTTGTTGACTGCGGGATGGGGGCCCTGGTCAGAAGAATGGAATCTCTATAGACCACTGCAACCCCGCCTCCCCGCCCTCCGGATCTCGGTTGGTGCTGCACAGAGAAACCTGGTGGGCAAAGCTGGGTTAAATTTACACCTCCCGCTTCGTCCAACCAGGTCTCTGTGATGCACGCCAGATCTGCCCGTTCATCCAGGATTAAATCCTGGATGAAGGTTGTTTTACCGTTGACAGATCTGGCGTTCAGCAGCACCACTTTCAATTCGGAGGGACCGCCATCCTGGTTACATTTTGTGATAGAAATCTAGCATATAGATGTCATTTGCTGTGACATACTGTGTTTTTGTGTCAGTAAAATAATTCCATTTTCAAACAGAATGTGATAGTGAGCTGAATAGTGGCATTAAAAAGTGTTTTTGAATGAGAATTTTAAAAAGGGGCATTATGTGTTATTAATTTGTTGTCTGTCAGATAATATGGGGATTTCTTTGAAAAAGATGTGAACAATTATCAGAGGACACATCATAACCCATAGAGTGGCAACCTGTTTTTTGTTTGTTTTATTATTTATTTATTTACTCCATTTGTACCCCGCCCTTCTTACCCCAAAGGGTACTCAAGGCAGCCTTACAACAGGTAGCAATTTGATGCCATACATACATATGTCTATAAAATAAATAATTACAATTAAAAAACAAACAGTTAAAACATGAATGATTAAAACATCAATTAAAATCACACCATCCAAATCATAATTCAGGACCATTTCATTTATCAATCACATTAATTCATGGCCACTTATTGCACTGCTCCAATTACTGGTCAAAAGCTCAACTCAAATTGACCCTGAAAGCCACGTCTTAATTTTTTTTTCGTGAAGGTCAGGAGAGAGGGGACTGATCTGATTTCATTGGGGGGGGGGAGTTCCATAGGCAAAGGGCTACCACTGAGAAGACCCTGTCTTTAGTCCCCACCAACCACACCTGCAAAGGGGTTGGGACCATGAGGAGGGCCTCCCCAGAAGATCTTAACTTCCTAGCCGGCTCATAGAGACAAGTTCAGACAGGTAAACTGGGTCGAAAGAAAGTCTCTTCTTTAAGGAGTGTTCTCTCCAGGTTCTAAAGCAGACATGGGCGAACTTCAGCCCTCAAGGTGTTTTGGACCCTCACAATTCCTAACATCAGGTAAGCTGGCTGGGATTTTTGAGAGCTGAAGTCCAAAACACCTGGAGGGCTGACATTTTCCCATGCTTATTCTAGAGCAACAAAGACACATTTTTTCTTTGCAATCTGCTTCCTCATATACTAGAAGCATGTCAACTCCAGTAGTTGAGCCATCTGCTTTGCTTTTACTCCTTATTTACACTTAAGCACATTTGGCAGCTTTCTTACTTTGGCAAGTTTGAGTGTCTGACTAGGTTATGATTCCACTCTACATCCCTGTCATATACAAATTTTCCCCCACTTAGCACAATATTTCTGGAAGGATGGGAGTACCTTGAATACTCCGTACTGGCATGTAAACCCGTTCAGCAGAGAGCAGAGATTCTGTTCCAGCCTTGAAATTTTGACACAAGCCAAACTCCTGCCTCAAGTGTTTTCAGTTTTCAGGCACAAAGTCTTGTTTCACCTCAGTTTGAACTTGACTATAATTTTTGTT